TACGTATATTTATATATACGTGCGTGTACGTGTGTTTCACCTTACCGGCTAATAGTGTTAATTATTACATACGCTGAGTGTTTAACTTGCTTTACACGCGATGCAAAGTAGCAAAGGTTATCGAGAGGCCATGACTAGACATTCAATCGTATAAGTTTTCTTGTCATACGACTTACAATAGTAATAACAAGATGGCGGGCGGCACCGGAAAAATGGCCGACGAATAAAACACACTCGACTTAATTAATATATCCATACACATAATATACATATAAGTTCCGCTCTCCCAGTCCTCTTACCGTCTTCCCATCTCTCCCGACCCTGTCCCTCCTCCTCTTCTCGTCCTCCTCATTTAATATGCGCAATACCTTACTTTCAGTATTTAACTCCTTCAGTATTTTCCTCCGCCGCTTTCGAAGGAGATGCTCGGCGCCCCATCTCCCTCCTTCTCACGCTCGGCAAAAATTAAAAGAGAGTAAACGATTCACGATTACATGACAGACATTCTGGAATACTGGAGGCTTCTTATCTATACACCACATAGCAAAAACCTTACTATCTCGCCCATGCACGTACACCCTTCTTTTCTTATTTTCGTTCGCTAGAGTTAAACCTTAAAAACACGCGAGAGCTAAGTCTAGAAAAACGTACCTTAAATTACAACACATACCGTACCACGTGCTGTGCCCAATCAACGGCTGTCAACCGATCGATTACAGTTCGATCATTCTCACACTCCTCTCACCGCCTCTTTCTTTCTTCCTTTCCCCGCAAAAAAAGTGGCGGTTCGTTGGAGAAAGGAAATCGTATCGCGCGCCCCTTCCGATAAGCTCCTTTTAATGGAATGTATTAATTAATCGCACAAGTGGTCCACGCGAGATCTGCGTCACGATGTCCTTATGATTACGATACTTTCCGATTACACCCCTTCATTAGGAAGGTGTTAAAGTACGTCGAAATTCCCAAGTGTTTCTTTTTCTTCCCAGTCGAAATGACGATTGAAAATTGATTATACTTGTGATCGTGTACCATTTTACGGAACATGCAACTCTGGAAATATCCGTCACTCAGCGTGACGAATTGGAGCACATGAAAGATGGAGTTATTATTTCATATAAAACAATTGTCTTTGGTAATCTGACGAGTACCAAAGGAGTTAACAATTAAAGGAGGCAACACACATCGAGATTTTAAATCTCATCTCGTGTTTTATCAACGATAAAATAATTATATCGTTGAGAATGAGCACATTTTGCAATATTGTAAAGAAGGGCTTAGGCGGTGATTGCCAAGCCTTTCAAGTAGATTTAAAGAATCTTATGTATAGAACTAAAGCGAAAACTTTGAATGGCGCATCGGAAAATCGGCGGCGATTCGTCAAGGAGAATTAAAGACGTGAGGAGATATTCTCTAATGGAAACACGGAATGCCGGTCGCATCGTTTCGCCTTCACGCTTCAACATACGGACGATTAAAAACTTTTCCCAAGAGGTAAGTAAGCAGCAAGGGCGGTTCAACGATTAACGATAACTGGCCATTCAACATCGAGTAACGTCTTAAGATCTACTTAAATTCCAGGGGAGAACGACGCGACCGGCTTGATAATTTGTTCGTCGGTCAGGCTATAATAATAAAGAACCTCTCGCCATCTTTGTACTTCGTACGCATCAATTTCCTCTTTTTTTTCCCGTCGTGCCCCTTTTTCTTCATATCCGTAACTCGCATTACGGAGTAATTCACGTCATTTTCCGCGCTTGCATACTTCGCTACTCCGTCATTTCCAGATCGCCGTTGTATGATCATGCAATTGCAAAACCAAGACTTAAATTGATTTTACAAGAACAGTGCCAGGGGACAGGCGAGATCTCCTTTAATGATTTTCTTTCTTGTCGGAAAATGTTGAAATGGGATTTTTTTTTAATATCTCCACCGTGATCTTTATTTTCGAGTCGTGCTTTCAGAGAGTTGCATGGTCCAGAATAACGAGATTACATCGAGAGACTCGAGCATCGAACATATGACCGAGTTTCTCGAGCTAAATTTATCGATATAATATTAACGGTCTCGTGAATTTCCCCTCGAAATTCTCGATCTTCGAAGAAATGCGAAACTTGGGATAGCTCATATCGTAACGCTCGTTCTCGATTCGTGGATCTTCTCGTTTAATTCGTACGGTCGTCGATTGGCGCACGTCGCCCGCGGATACGTATACACCACGTTTAATCATGCTAGTGATATATGCGTACGATAATAATTAATTCGCGTATATCGCTTACGGACTAGGAAATTCGCGATCGCGCGTGTCGCCCGTGGCTCGCGGCCGTATCTCTCTCGATCGGCCGCTCCGGTCAGCGCGATCCGGTGACCCCGCTAAATTATAATCTAGCCGTTCAGAGGACGAAAGTACGATCGACCGGAGCCAGCCGATTCGGTTGCCAACGAGCCGAGACGATTGCGACGCGCCGATCCTCCACGGATTTCGTTTACAGCATCGTATATCCATCGTGTCGTGTCAGAGGAGACTGCAGCTCGGCAGCAAGTACAATATATAACTAGGCATGCAACAATACTTGGAGTGGTATTTTTCTCGAGTTAAAAATAGCGATCAATCATTCAATCTCTCTTTCTCTCCCCCTCTCGTCACCCTTTCTCCCCAAAGTATATTTTTCTCTCTCTCTCTCTCTCTCTCTCACTCTCTCATCATCTCACTTTCACAGTTGCTCTTTTTTGTTTACTCATTAAGTAACATTACTTGGGCCCGGGAAGAATGTAATTTTTCTTCTTTTTTCTCTTTCTCTCTCTCTCTCTCGCTCTCTCCTTTTCTCGCGAAAGTTACACAGAGTCGCCGCGCGCCGCTTTTGTGTCTCAAATATGTGGCGCGTCGTGTGGATAGTTAAAAAAAACTTCCCCCTCCTTTCGAAATGCACGGATATTTATTTTTTTGTCGTTAAGCTCTCGATCTCGTCTCTTCGCCTCTTCTCCCACGTGGGGAAAGTCCTCTCTGACCCTCGACCGAGATCGAATCACTCGCAACACAGATGCATCCGTGATTTCACGCGCTGCCGCAAAAATTGCGGCAAGTGATTTAGGACACGCCATCTCACCTCCGTGTTTTCGATTCAAAGGGAACAGATGTTCGGCATGCGCGTCTCGGCGCGACGGCGCTCGGCGCGGTCGGCACACAATTAACGCGCGTTGCGAACGTACAAAAATATATATGTGACATCTATATAATCCGCTATAGGTTTCTAAAAACTCGTCTCTCTTTTTTTTTCTTGTTATTATTCACCGGCGATCTCACGACGTCGCGCCGAGTGCCGCCGAGGGATCCTGTATTCGCTTCACGGGAATTTCTCCGTTTCGATCGCGAGACCTCGTTTCGTTTCGTCATTCTCCATTTCGTTTCTCTATCTTGCCCCCAACGTCCGTCACGAGAGATCCGTCGCGCGGAAAGCAAACTGTTCGGGAAAAGCCGGGGATACCTACACGACACCGGGGACCAGGTCAAGAACTGACCAAGTTCTTCATCTCACGTTACATTTTCGCACTTAAGATATCAGAAGGAATACGTGTGTGCTAGGAACAAGTCAAGTAAAATTCAACACCTTGAGAGAATATGCAATTGGCTTGGTCGTTCCTCGACTTGATCGTATCGATCGACTACGTGTTTGCTACAGGCAATGTCTTTTCTTTAAGATTACTATATTTATTTATCACTCGTCAACACTTCCGCTTGTTACTTTTGATATTTGTCGCAATTTAGAATTCTCTATCTTTGTCAAACGATTTTTCGAATTTGAAGAAAAAATATTGGCAAAGAAAAAAAAACAATAAGTACCCACTTTATTAAGCCATTATTAAGCCAAATCAAAGAAGTGGCAAATACTGAGAAAATCACTGTAAAATAATACAATTAGTAATAATTTTTAACAATTAATACAAATCACGAGACGGTAAGCATAAAATTATCCAAAGTCAAGTTGAATAAAATTTCGGTTTTATGTTCTTAATAGCTTCACGTAATGATTTTAAATTGCTACGAGAACTCCCAGCGGTTACACTATGTAACGAGGACACCGTGTGTTGGTGGACAACAAACAACTAGCTACGCTAAGAGATCTATAGAGACTATACTGCATCATCTATAATCAAACAGGAACATAGGGCTACGTAACGCACACGTTATAGTGGAATGTACCTGATCACCATCGGCGAGGAAGCTTCGTTGGGGGTAGGTTCTCTCGTCGATTACTTGTATTAAAGCGCATATGATATGCCTACGAGGATCGTAAAAATAAATAAAAACGACTGCTCGGAATAAGAAGATATTGACGGACCGGTTCGAAAAATATTAGTTCAAGAATTGTTAACGCAATTTAATGAGAAAAAAATGAGAAAAAAATAATTAATTACTTTTATACAATCACATTTATATTATTTCGATTATTGTATCCATGTTTTAAAATTTGTTAATCCTTCATGAATAATAAAGTTTGAATTTCAAATCGCATCGTCGCGTTGCAATACGAGGACGCGAAGAATGTTTAATCCACGTGTAACAAGAAAAGATAGTAAAGTTGCAAATTTTGCGTCAGTAATTACACTACCATTTAACAGTGGACTTTTCTTAAGAGTTGCATTTCCATTCGATGCTTCAAAATGGACTTTCCTCAAAAGGGAGATATTGATTTTCCGAACCGGGCCACCGTTGTCAGGGAATAGCAGGCAAGAGATGTAGAAAATAAAAATAAGACCAATGCTCATCCGTAATGTGAACTGAAAATATTATTAAAAAGCATTTTACAACAAAAAATAACTAAAAAACAAACAAAAATACGATTTACAATTAAATTAAGAACAATCGAGTTGTATCATCTAAAAATAATAATACAATAATATTATAATAATATTAATAATAATAACATAACAAACCAGTACAAAAAAAAGGAGGAAGAAGAGTGGCTGACAGCGAGAAGAAAAGTGACAGTGTCGAAACGGTATTTCGTTCTCATCTCTCGCGCGCATCGCGGAGCGTCTCATTCTCTTGGTGATAACGCGTTGCAATGCGAGCGCGCACGCATATATAAAACACACGCAGGCACAGTAGTAACATATACACACATACACACACGCATGTACGTACATCTCGCGGGGCTCTTACTTTGGGAGTAATGCGTAGGAATGGAATTTAATCTCTTGTCTTGTGTGCGCGCGCCTCACGGCCGATTATTGACAATGAGAGCGGCGAAGTGGTAGTGATGGCTAGCTGGCAAGGTGGCGCATCGTCTCTTCTCGGTTTTCGCGTCAAACGCGTTAATACGATACAATAACGATATAATAACTGATTAATAAGGATAATAATGTAATAATAATAATAATAGTAACTAAATATCGATAATAACTAATTAATAATAGCAATAATGATAATAATGACAGTAATGTTAATTAGGGATCAACACATGCTTATGTGATATAAATACTAATGGACAGATACCTTGTGATGCCGTCTCGATGGTGCAAACTTCCTTTGTGTGCACCCCTTCCCTCTCCAAATTAATATATCCCCCCCTTCCTAAAGAAAGTTTTCGAATTTTTACGGATGTTCCATTCGCGTCGTTCTCTTGGCATTCCGTCTTTGTCAAGTTATTAAAAAAAATAGATTAAAGGCGCGAAAGCGCGATCGATTAAATGTTGAAACAGCTTGACGAATCAAGAAATTGAAAAAAAAAACAGCTTGACGGTTTGCCCGAGCCGACGCGATAATGGCGCCTAATCGACAGACTAAAATAAAAAGAAACATCGAAATAAAATCGCGATACGATGAAAAATGAGAATCTAAATAATTCTATGACTCCTACGTTCGTTTTTCTCTCTCCGGGCACCCTGTCAATTTCTATCATCCTTGTTCGTCCGTAAAGGTTGTCGTCATGACGAGGACATTCCAATCGGAAAATGTCCAAAATTTGCGATCAAAAATAACATCGAATTCTCCGTTCGAGACGGCAAACGACAGGTTGCGCATAACTGATTCGCGATATGATTCTGAGCGTTTACGCGACTCGAAGATCGGAAATGTTCACGGAATGTCTACGGAATTATTTCTCGGACGAACAAGGACGAAATTCAAGCGACGATCACCTGCTTCGGTAGTCTTTTAACTGCAGCACTTTAATTGCGAAAGAATTAAAAGGATTCACGATGCAATATCTATTTTAGTGCCTGTACCTATGTCAAATATCACACACTGGCAATGTTCATCGGTTGATGCAAAATGTTTTTTCGTACATCATAATTCGCGTGTGTCTCTACCTAAATACTCACTAATTGACAAACGTCGATCATGAGATTCGTAACGTTCGCATAAATGTCATCGAAACATTACATTCTTTTGATCGCATCTCGTATCACTCTTTCTCTTCTGGAAAAGCCATTTTATACTTGTAAACAGTGACTACACAACAGGTACGCTTAGATCACAATTTGTGTTTCTCGAGCACTACAAATTCGCAGTAGATTGATCGAAGGATAAAAAAAATCTTTGGATCAAAGTTCTTAATCGAATGCCACGAATCTTCAGTCCGACTTCGTAAATGTCAGCTCGTTGCTCAATGAAACGTGCAATCAGATTCGACTACCAAATCAAGCGATCACGAGACAGCGATGACTGCGGATTATCTCAGGATCTTCAATTACGATCGATGACGAAACTATTTGAAGACGTAGAAATTGAATTTTAGTTATTTTGCTCGAGTCCCAATCAAATTACAGAGAGTCAGCTATTGATAAATCATTATTTCCATTATTCTAATTTACTATTCTATTAAAAAAATATCTGTCACTGAATTGAAACAATATCCGATACTCGATCGAGTCGTGGAGAATTAATCTTAAAAAATAAAAATTCACTAACTATTCTATGCATAACACATATAATATTCTCCAAGTAATGAAACAAATTTTCCCGTAAACAATTGAGCACGAGAATCCGAAAGCTTTGAATCAGTCCAGGGACTTCCAAAACTTCCAGAATTGATGTTTGGGTGAGCGAAGCAATAATCGATGTAACCAAAGATCCTGACATAATTCACGAATCCTCGTGGCCGTAATAATTAGGGCCGTTAGGGTATGCCAGCTAGCCTTTCTCTCTTCACAATACAGGGAGCGTTGGATGACATCTCATATCGACAACCGAAAGTCGCAACACGTTAATAATAATAGAATAATAATAATAGAATAATATTAATAAAAAATATAATAATAGCAAACATGCACGGAGTCGCGCGGCGGAGACTTTGTGAGGACTTCCGCGATTGGCGATCCATCCAACAAAATATATTATTAATACTCATAAGTTTTTTGTTTCGAGTGAAGAAGACGCCAGCGCAAACCTAAAACGGCTGCGCGGCAGTCGGGTGGGAATCGGAGGGTGGTGATGGTAGTGGTTGGTGATTCTCAACGTTGGTGTTTGGGGGCAGACGATGGTTTCGTGAGAATTTTAAAAACGTAAGCGGTAGCAACAACGCATTCTTTACTTTTTTTTTTAAGCGCAGCGATACAAATGAAAAAGAGAGAAGAAACAAAAGTTGCATCAGGCTGTGATAACATAACTATCGAGAGAATGAGATACAGAGCGAAAAGGAAAGTCTTACGATCGCTAAAAAAAACGGCTAATAGCTACTATATGCGCTACGATACTAACTACGCTAATAAGAAAAAAAAGGAAGAGGGTTTCGCTGTAAAGTGGGAAGTCGGAGAAGACGATGACAATTCGCCTTCTGCTTTCATACTGATGAAGATAGTGATTACGTTAAAACGATTGCGTGAAATATTGCTATGAAAAGCCGAGAATGAGCCTCGATGATCTAATCTGTCGGTATACGCAATCGGTTTTTTTTTCTTTACGCGTAGATCAAACGCCAAGCATCCTATTTCTTTTCTTGAGATTCATCTCTTGTAATACTACACCATTCAGGTCTCTGACGAATTCTCTTGTGATTCCTGTACGTCTCCGCGAATTACGATCTTTATCTAGAGTTTGTCTGCGTTATCTGTGAATAAATTCAGGATCTCATATATTTAAGCGTTAACGTTACTTGGTGATAGTGATTTCCCGCGAATCTGAAATGTATCGCGAGAAATACACATCTTTAACGTGATGAATAACGATACCGTCGATAAGCACTCAGCATATACTCGCCGACAGAAGTTAATAAATTTATCACGTAAATTGAGTGAGAAAAAGTAATTGTATGATCAAAAAAATTAATGCGGGTCAACGCGATTTCGCGATATGAATGACAGAGACGGATGTACGGACTGAAGGGGGGAGCAGAAATTAATTAAAGTAAAACTAATCAATAACAGTAAGTTGAAGAAACAAGAAAAAAAATATAAACGCGCGCGATGACCGTTCAATGACGTTCAACGAAACGCTGTCATAGTTTACGAAATGCATCTCAGGATGAGTTTCCGTAGGAATTGTCGATAATCGTTTACAAAAACCGATAGGCGGATGAGACGGGGGACCGAAGGGCAAATTCATCGGGGATACGATCTATCGATCCGCAACATACAAGATGTCCTGTCGTTCGGTTACTTAGAATCCGCAGGACGATTCTCGCGTCTCACGAATGGATTAATTGGGTCAACTGATCTCGAATGATCAGAACAGTCCCAAATGCGCCCATACACGACATTCAACAATCTTCGGCGAGTCTGCTACCCAAATATGTTGACATATATATTGTATTGAAATATAATGACGAAATTATTTAGTTTCTCTAACAATTTCTCAAACTATTTTCGCAAACGTATCATATATATTAATAACACATGGATCAATCTGACGTCTTTATGCAATAAGATCAAACAATTGTCCATAGAAGTAATGCACGAACAATTTGGGAAACAAAATCGTTTAACAAAGACCACAGATGTGTTGACGATGTACGAGCTAATTCGAAGCTTACCGGAGTAAATAAGATATAAATAAGACCATGCAATACTCGCGGCAATCAGTCTCGTGTCCCATGGGACAAGGATCAAACCTGTTGAAAGATGGTTTTGCGCAAAATCGTTGGGATTTCGCGTGGGATCTCAAAAAAAAAAAAAAAAAAACAAATCTCTCATAAGATGTAACAACGAAACGGATGTTCGCGTGATAAACGGACGTTCCCCGCGAACCTCGCACGGCATTTGGAGGGAGACATTTCGAAGCGCGATGACCGGAAGTGACCCGAGCGCGACGGTCGCGATCGACCACCGTCGAAGAGAGTAACGAAAAAAATGGTAAACGCGCGTGGGATTCGGGCACGCGTAACAACCCGATGTGTGTGTTAGTTAAGTGTGGACCATGTCGTCGTGACGAATGGAAACGCGCTTCCTGGTGTGATCGTCGGACGAGGTCTCAGAGAGAAGACTGTGGTTAGTGTGGGGAAATGGGGATGGGGAAGTGGGAGAATGGTAACGGACGTGAAGGGAAGAGGATCTCAGAAGGTGGAAGGCGAGGGGGGAAGTGACTAGCGGCGGCGAGCTCTACAACTAAACAACAACAACAGTATTTTCAGTATTATAACAACATTAACAAGTAAGTCATCGCGTACGCGCGCGCGTATATACGGCGCGTACGCGCGAAGAAAGGAGCGCGCGCGAATTTTTCGGGGCAGGGTTGATTTATACGTCCTCTCTCTCTCTCTCTCTCTTTCTCTCCCTCTCTCACTCTCTTTTTCTTTCTCTCTTTCTCTTATTTGCGGGTCCTAAACAGCCCAGCGTCGCAAGGGCTCTACACACAAAGCGTTGCGCGTTTCTCCTCTTTCTTTTCGCTCTTTTCTACGCGAGATAAAGAGGGACAGCTCGCGGAAGCGCGAGGAGGATTATCGAGGGAAGCGCGCGCGTGCTTTCTCGCATACCGTCGGTGATGTCCGTCGTTCGGCAGAGTCCACAAGAGGAGCGCCTCGGGAAAGTGTTCCGGCGAGGGTACTCCCAATTTTCTTGCCACGTGAACGACACTCGCTCGGGAGTCGGTTCCTTGAGAGTCATGTATGGAGCAATAAAAGATGCGCTTCTTTCTCATGGTCGGCGTGAAACGTCTCGTAGGTGGGTCGAGCGAAGAAGGGTGATGGGTACAAGATGATGACGAAGGTGGTGAGTTGAGCGCGCGAGCGTTGGCGGTGAAGCGGACGTAGAAGAAGACAGGCGAACGTAGGTGAGAGGAAAGATCGATGAGATCGTGATGGCCACGCGACCGTCTAACGACGAAGAGCGGCGATGGTGATGGCGATGACACGATGAAAAACGTTGACACTGGCGCACGACGATCATCGTCGTCGTCGTGACGCGTCACTGCTCTACATGCCGATCGGCGGTACCTGTACATAGCGGTATATGTACAGCCGGTAATCTTTACTGGCCAATACGACCGAGCCGTCGTCCATTAGCGCCACGTCGAAACACTGCGCGTGCTTCACCTTGCTCTCAAGGGCCGAGACCAACTGGCCATCCTGCGTGAAGATGGTCAGATTGAAATTATTATGATTGTCCGCTATTAGTATCTCGCCATGCGTATTGATGCCCACGCCGATCGGATAGTTGGTGATACCCTCACCGCCGATCTGCCGTAAGTAAGCGCCCTCGTAGTTAAAAACCTTGACACAATGGGCGCGATTGTCGCTGATGAAGATCTCCTGTTTATCGTTCACCACGACGCCGTTCGGGAATTCGAGGTGTTTCGAACAGCCGAACTTTTGCAGAACATTGCCGGCCTGATCGAAGATGATGACGCGCATCACTTTGCATTCCACAACGACGATTCGTCCCTTGGAGTCAACGGTGACGCCACGCGGATGCTGGAGGATGTTCGCGCCGAATTTGCGTACAAATTGACCATACTGATTGTAAATCTGTATCTGATGAGTCGGCGAGCGTTCCGTAACGATAATGTCACCGGACGTCTTCACGACGGCGACGCGATTTGGATAGAGCAATTGGCCGTCGCGTTTGCCACACTCGCCGAATTGAAACTTGAACCTGCCTTCCTTGTCGAAGATCTGGATGCGATGATTGTTCGTGTCGGCAACGATGATGTCGTTCTGCGCGTTCACCGCGACGCCCGACGGCTCGGTGAACTGGCCCTCCATCACGCCAAACTCACCGAACTTACAATGGTAGATCATCTTCTGCCGTTTGATTTGTGACTTGGGCGGGAATATCGCGGTGGACATCAGTTTCGTAGTCAAGTCAAGGACGGGATCGCTTGGTGGGGCGTTTGTCGCTACGGATACCGACGGCATCGCGAAATGGTCGTTCGTCGTCCCGACCGGATAAGTGTCACTACCGCCGTTGCTCCATTTCTCATACGGATTGGCATTCATGCCGTTTAGATTCACGTCGCTGATCGTCGTGGAGAACGGGCCGAGGCTGTTGGCCGAACTGAAACGTTTTGAGATCACGCTGCTGACAGTGTCGATCGAGGAAGGTGATGACGACGAGCCGCAATTCATACTGGAGGAGATCAGGCCGTTACTGTAAGTCCGATCTAAGAGGAGACTGCCCAGAGAACCGGCGCCGCTTCCGGGCCCGTTGCTGATGTTGCTGCTACCGCTGCTACCAATCCCGTTGCTCGACAGAGCAGTAGGTCGCGCGATAGGCGGCTGTTTGCCGATCGAACCGGCGTTGTTTTCACTGTTACTATTACTCCGAACATAACCGAAAGTGTTCCTCACTCCCACTTGTATCGCCTGATAATTACTGACAAACTCAAGGTCCGCTGTCTGATTGGCTATGTCTGTATTCGGGGTGTAACTGAGCAGTGACTGGAGCTTGGCTTCGAGGATCTTCTTGACCATGAGGAAATCGGTGATGGTGGTGACCTTGGTTACGCGCTCAACGAAGTCGCAGGTTTGCATCATCTTGTCCGCCATCTCGTTAGCTCGTTGGGAGAGCACATTCAAGGAGATTTGCTTGGTCGAGAACACTGAGTCGAGTTCCTTCAGCAGCTCTTGCTTGCGCTCATCCAGCATCGATCGATAGAACTGAAAAGTATCGTTGATCTCATTCTGCGCCTTGTGATACTGCACCTGCAGCACTGCGGTGTTATGGTCCGTTGCTTTGACCGCCGCACGCGCGTCCGCCGCCTTCGCGCGGCACTCCTGAATGATCCGCGACAACGCCTCCAGCTGTTGCGTGCCTACTTCCGAGACGTGAGCACAATCGTGCAACGGCGCTGGATGCTCCGCCACGGTGCACTCCTTGCAAATTGGCACATTGCAGCTTCGACAGAAGTACTTGATTATCTCCTGTTTGTGTCGCGTACAGAAATGTATCTTCTCGGCATTGGGCGCATTGTTACTGTTTCCGGTGCCGTTGATAACTAGATTGTTACCACCACCACCTCCGCCGCCGCCGCTGCTGCCGTTACAGGCGCTTTTAGGCAATTCTGTCGTCGCGGTGATTGTGCTACCACCGCCACCTCCGCCGCCACCACCGCCGCCATTTCCACCGCCGCCACCACCGCCGCCGCCGCCGCCACCGCTGCCGACGGTCTCCAGCTTGGAGTCGGCCAAGTTCAATAACCGGTGGCCTTCGAAGCAGAGCATAAATTGATGTGCCATCACGCAATTTGGACAGAGAAACTGATCACAATCGTAACAACGCGCTACTGCGCCAGCTTCAGTGGACTTGCAGCCGGTGCAACGGATGCGACTGGTGCCACCGGTGCTACCCAGCCGGCAGCGCGGGCACGGATCTTCGCCCGACTTTGGTGCGTCGAGGCACAAGTCGCAGCTGTCGACGTCGCAGATCGCCGAGTCGCTAGCAGGCGGCGAGCTGCCGCTCACCGTTACTGGGGACAGCGAGACCGGGGACCCGAGGGAATTTGCGCGCGATTCCAATGAGGGTGTCGGCGAGGCCATCTTCAGTCAACCGGCATCCCTGCAAGCAGAAAATCATCAACGTTTATATATCGCTACATTTCGTAAATTATTAATTATCATTATAAACTAATTTTTCAACAAAAATTTTATGTCGGTATGTAAAGGATTTTCACAATTATTAGTTCTTTTTCATTTTAAATAACAGGATTGTTAGCGAATCAGAAAAAAAATATTCCCTGACTTTTCCCGGTCACTTTTTGGAAAAATTCTGACTGAAGCCAAAAAGGAGCACTAAATAAAATGATAAAGAAAAAAAAACATTAAACATTTTTATTCTTGCCGCAAAGAGATATGAGTCATTAAGTATAAAGATACCATAATATTTCTGCTCTACTGACTTCATCTTTTATGAAATATGTACTAATACAGATAATACGCATCTATTAAATTTGATTGAAATATGTTTGTGGTTTACTATTATTATTTTCAGACTGTAAGATTAAAAGAGAGAGGTGAAAACAAAACTCCAAATAATTTAAATCATCTTGTAAACTCTGGAATCATTAATAAATCACAGAATAAAATCGAAAATAACAAGCATAACACAAAAATAAGTATCAAAAATTGAATCTGTGCATGCTATCTGTAGCATTAGTACAGCATTATTTTACTTATTGCACACTGCTTATTGATTTAATCATTTCATTAAAACATTATGTTCTATTAAAATGATAAAATCGTTTTCATTAAAAACTTTTTATCTTGACACTGCATATTTTCAATATTTGTATGCGAAACAAAGATGAAGGAATTTAAACAAGAGATTATTGACTCTCACAATAAATTCGTTCGTGTCCAAAAAATGCATGATTACTGAAACACTGCAAATACTTAATAGAGTCGAACCTCGATAACTCGAATCTCAAGGGACCAGCTATAAAAATCTTCAAGTTACAAAGGTTTTGCCTTCGAAGTTCGAGTAAAAGAGAGTTAACATTGAAAATTACGGAAGTTTTGTACGAGAGTTTATAATTTATAATGGGTTTTAAAGTAAAAAAATCCGAAATTTTTTGAGTCGGTTTTCGAGTTATCGAGGTTCGACTGTATAATTTTTTATAATCTTGCTGTGAGTGATTTGTGAAACATCGTTAATACTATATCTTGATGTAACTTTTGTAAAAGTTATAGAGTTTTCTTTTTTAACTATGCCGGTTAATGATTTTCTGCAAATTGCTCACTGCAAAATATAAAAATCATAAAAATATTTACAATGTAAATAATGTTTCCTTAAATAATTTTAAAAATGATATTTAATCATTTTCAAACTTTTAACAACTATATTTAATAATTTTTTAAAAAATAGTATAGTTTAAAAATTTAAAATTTACAATAATTTAATTTTATCTTAAGTTAATACATTTTTTTTAATTCCCCGACTTTTCACGGTTTTCCCCATTTTTTAATTCCCCAATTTTTCCGTAATATCCTGGTTTTCCCAGATCTCCAACAACCCTGAATAAACATGTTTGCATGTGTACCTTTCTCTCTCGGTTCTCTTTTCAGAATTTTAATTTTCCATCTGATTGATGATTAGCCCTTATTAAAATGTCATTAATACCGCATGATGTAACAGATTGTACCTATATATTTCTCTGTTATATAAATCGCGCTTGTATAAAATGAAATTTTAATAATGGCACTTCGTTAAGAGAATAATGTGAATTTATCTGTATATTTCACTTCGTTCAAGAGAGAGAGAGAGAGAGAGAGAGAGAGAGAGAGAGAGAGTTCGTAATAACGAAAGAATATCATTATTATTTTGCGTTCTATCGACTATACTATAGTATCAACTATATAATAACAGCATAATAATGTCGTAATGTTTATCTATCTATCGGTTGCTCCCGATAGAGCCGGCGTTGTCGTTGCGATTAATCGTTATTACGGCGTTTCCTATCTTCAAAGGTCTCTTTTATTGCGATTCCCACGCGCACACGTCTGGCTACCTCTCCACCAATCTTCCCCTCCGTACCCCCGGAGGCGCAGCGGTTATTCGCGCGGCTCGCGACGAGCAGGAGGCTTCGGTCCCTCTAATTAAATCGCTCGAGCCGGACGGCCATGTTTCACCTGGCAGTCAGAAGAGGAGAGAGATCGGCCAGAAGTGGCCGGAGGAAAGGGAACGACGCGCGCCGGCGGCGAAGGAAAAGGAAGAACGAGGGAGGACTGGTATAGACCGCGAGTCCAAGGTCACGAATGTGAAGGTTATCGTACTTCTCTCCCACCCGGTCGAGCGAATTTATCGGATACCGTGCGACGACACTAGCTTTTCCACGCTCGGGAGGAGGAGGAGGAGGAGGAGGGGGAGGAGGAGGAGGAGGAAGAGGAGGAGGAGGAGGAGGAGGAGGAGGAGGAGGAGAAGGAGGAGGAGGAGGAGGAGGAGGAGGAGGAGGAGGAGGAAGAGGAGGAGCAAAGAGAAAGAGGTAACGCGTCGAGGAGGAAGAAAAGAAAATGAATCGAGAGAGAGGAAGAGAGAAAGTATTTTTCGATGTGTCGAGCTCGTCTACGTGAAAATATCATTTCTCGGAAGCTTCGCGCTTCAACCGACGTTATCCCGTCTCATCGGCGCAGAAAGACTTAATAAAGAAAATAACATGACGTTTCCTTTTCCCTTAAAATCGTCTTCATTCGGCTTGTTTCATATTTCTTAATCGAGGTGAGCGGTCGAAATCCGAGCCGTGATATTAGAAGCGAGATAGCGAAGCCGCAGAGGAAGAGAGGAAGAGAGAGAGAGGGAGGGGGAAGAGAGGAAACCGCGGAGGCGAGGAGAACAAAGAGCATCTGCTCGCGCGCTCCAGGAAACGCTTCTGAAGTTACTGCACCAGCGAGTCCTCGCTCGCGAGCGCGACCAGCGCGCGCCGTCTTCGTGCAAGAATTTTGATTAACTCCCGAGATAAAAGGTGAACGCTCCTGAGGGAAGCGTCCGTGGAGCCCGAGGTCGCCGGAAAGCCGCGTTTAACATACCGAGGCCGAGGAAGTCGCGGGGAACGCGCGGTAAACTCACCGAAAGCGAGAATTCACGCCATTGTGAAGAAACCTCTACGTATAAAAATAGCATGTACACACGTAGAACGCCGTTCGGCTGAAAATAACAACGCAAAAATGCACGTACTAAGTGCGTGTATTTTTAATGCTTTAATAAGAAAAACGAATTATTTACATTGATAACTAATGGAAGCTCTTTCAAACTTTTCCCCTGAAACCTCGAGAGACGAAACAGATTTTATATGAGATTTATTGAGATTAGATACAATTTAAATATCGGAAATATGATCAGCTAGCTTTGATATAAAACCATGCGGAGTGCATGATGAAAAAGGCAACGGCAAATTGTTAATATATTATATGTTATGAAATATTAAAGATAAACCTGTTTACATATTACACTGAATATATGCAATTTAATAACCAATGTGTGTAATTTAAATGGATAAGCAATGAAAATAGCGATCATGTTTTTTCGTTTATTGTCAATTTATTTTAGCTTTTTGAAATAATATCTGAAATACGTTAAAAAAATATATATATGACTTTATATAAAAAATTACTATTTTATCGTTTACACCGTTTTTTTTCTTCATCTTATAACATCTGTCTTTGAACGTGCACGCCTCAATTGTCGAGGATCGTCGAGAAAAGAATGGAGAACGGTTTCCAACGATCGTATACGTATGACAAATACCGCGACGGGATATAACGAGGGAGGAAGAGGGAGGTTAATTCTTTCTCGCGCGCGAGGGGATGAAGCGCGTCTGAATAAAAAAAAATGCGACGGGGATCAGGGAGAACGGGACGCAGGAACGTGTCCTTGGCGAGGATAATTCCCGTTATCGAAGTACCGTTGCATTTTCGAACGCGGATCGCAACCCCACGGTTGAATGCACCGTGGGAAGGGGTGGCGGACGGCGCGTCTGGTTTCCATGGCAACGCTGCATCGACCGCCCCAACCCTTCGAACCGGAGTTGTTCCGACGAGGGTCGAGTCCGTTGCCGCTCGTGATGGTGGTGGTAGTGGTGGTGGTGGTGGTGGTAGCGACGGTGGAGCGGCGGGAACCAAGGGGGATGGCAACCGCCCTTCGGGAACGGTAACCGTTGGTGCATCGCCCTTCGACGCAGCCCGGTAGTAGTGCGTGCTTCTCTACGGGGTGATCGAAAAGAACCTTCCCAGGATATACCCAGGGAGTAATCGCGAAGATATGGTCAGAAAAAAAAGAGGATCTCTACCAAAGTTTTTTTTTCTCTAGCGAAAACGAAGCTAAGATTTTACAATGTTAATATCGGTTATCGTTAATTTTTAAAAGTCTATTGATTGTAATATTCTTTGTAAAAACGCATTATACACCGTTTGCTGAGCAATACACACTTTTACAGATTTTTCTTTGATGGATTATTCCTCGGTGGCAATTTAAGTAATGCTTCGTAAATTTATTTAAAACTTTGAGAAGCTGGCGCTCTCCCTTTTTTTTCGACTTTACTATTTGAAGGGCTTAACTCTTCTTCAAACTTTATAACTTTTAAGAGGATATATATTCCCGATGGGGATGCCTTCGGAAAATCGTCTTCCAATTAATCAAACTATTCGCGAAAATCTACGTTGACGAATCTACGCTCACCGGGAACTTAAGTGCCAAAGGTGTCCATAGTGTCGGCAAGACTCACATCGAGTGTACAACCCGGGGCGTACATTCTCGCGTGTACTCCGGCCGGTAATTTCAATGTCACTGCCGGATGTTTCTTCAGCCCTAAACGAGGGGAGCGGTCGCCACCTGCCCCCTCCACCCTCTCTCGTTTGATTAACGTTATTTTGCTCGACGGGCGAGCATCGACCGCGATCGATACACGGCGCGCGGCGGTGGCGGTAGCGGTGACGATGGCGTTGGCGGTGGCGCGGCGTGCAGCGGCGGTATAGTCACGTTTGCGAGCCGAGGAACAAGGAACGAGATGAGACAGACGGAGCCGAGCGAAAAGGCCATCGGCCTGCGCCGCAGACGGATTGGTAACG